CCCTTACTCTTGCCCTCCTTCGCCAAAGAGAATTTCTGTCAGAACAACCGAACAGCGTGCACTGCGGCCTATTTCAAGGAAGCCTCAGATTCTTGTCAATGAATATGGTCCGTGTGCCCAGTCACATGCGGTCGTCTTGACTGCCACAGCCATGGTCAGTGAATCATACCCTGACATCTGACACCCCGCCTGGAGCAGACACCATCTGTGAGAAGAGCACTTTCTTTTCCTTTTTCGCAGTTTTTTCTTCATTTGTTTGGTCATGAAATGTATTTTTGCGTTTATTTTCCCTATTTCACACTGCCACCCACCTGTCCCCCATCCGTCCCACACCCGTCATACTAATCCACATACAAGGCTAGTGGATCTCCCTCCTGGGCCGTGGTCCCATTATCAAAGAGCATCGGATTGAATGCCTGAATCTGGACGTGTTCTAGGACAGGAGCAGGAAATCGAGATCGCAATGCTTTTCTGTATCTCTGCATACATGGCCAGATTCAGGATGTATCCTCTTTGCTAGTGAGACCACGCCCCTGGGGGCGCAGGCATCCCGAACCTATAGGGTCTCGCTCCACTACTATCTGCTGTACGATTTCAGATCGTAAGTCACCGCTCCACTTACTATCCCAAAATTCACCTTCGGAAATCACCGTATGGATGTCAGATGGCACCCTCCAGATTCACCATACGATCCCGTATAGTTCACAGCCTGCAGAAGTCGTTACTCGGAGGGTGGTCGAAGGAGGTCGGCGTAGCATCGCGAAATCGTATGGAGAGCCTGGAGTCTGGGCCGACAAATTGATGTCTTGTAGTGCTGTGAGAGTGGTTTGTAGTGAACTCCAAAATTGGAGACTCATATAGCGGATAGTAAGTGGCGCGACACTAGGTTTTATACGGAGCTCTGACAGCTCTACGGCCGCTATACAAAATTGTGTACAGCAGATAGTAGTGGAGCGAGACCCATAGTCCAAAAAAAAAAACGGAAAAAACAAAACGACAAAAAGAAATAAGAAATAAGAAAAGGAAAAAAAAACACATTGCCAAAGAAAGGGTACTGCTTCCTTGCGGGGCAGAGGACGGGGGAACAAGAGAGAGAGAGAGAGAGAGAGAGAGAGAGAGAGAGAGAGAGATACATTCCCGTTTGACACTTACGAAGAGCACCTGTAAGAGAGAGAGTGTGTGTGTGTGTGTGTGTGTGAGAGAGAGAGAGAGAGAGAGAGAGAGAGAGAGAGAGAGAGAGAGAGAGAGAGAGAGAGAGAG